TTCAGTGTATTATTCACGAGTTCACTTGACCAAAAATTAATTTAACTTGATTCCTTTTTGAGACAGCTTATCCATCATATGTTTACACACGAGACACTATTGTTTACACACTAAAAAATGAATCGCTTATCAACGTGAATAATTATAAAAGTCGCTCAATTTTGAAATATTTTTATACTTCCCACATAACGCAACATAATGATTATGCGTGTTTTWAAAATAGCGAAAAAAGTATTAACATACCAGTGGAATCATCGCTTGGCAGCTTTCTCTTCTTTTCTTGGTTGGAGTGTTCCTTTACGTGTCCATTGAAGGTATTTTTCTCCGAGAAGGTTTTATTACACTTCCCACATTTGAATTCTTTCTTCRTGTTGTGCTTCGAGTGGACGGTTTTCAGATGTTTTGACATGTCTGAATTTCTCTTTACACCTGATTTCAAAATAGTGCGAACTCTCGGGATTTTCAGTTTCGGTCGATCTTCGGCACTCGACCGACATCACTCGACGGCTTGGTAACCAGGCTAACCAGGCGGGTTACATAGCTATCAATAATGGCAGTCATGACGAAAACCACACTCGGGAACTGATCATGAAAGCCATATCAACTGATCTGCGATGGAGGGTAATCTATCATCAGATAATTTATGGCTCCACAATTCAAGAAACATGCAGGGCTCTTTTCGTTGGCAAGACATTCGTGTGTAAAATAAGAAAGCTATATAAACAGCAGCGAGATGTCAAAGCACTTGGAAGACGAGGAAGGTACCGACTGCTAACATGTGAGTATAAGCTTATTATACGTATAAAGCTTACGTTAGTTTACTTCAAAATTATAGTCGGGAACACAGCCAATAAAATATTGTAAATTCTAAATTTCATTCCAGACAATGAAAATGGCATATTGAAGTCTATGGTCTTGTCAAAACCTGATTTATATCTCGATGAATATCAAACTTGGTTGGCAGAGCTAACTGGAAAAGTCGTCAGCATTTCGACCATTTGCAGGTCCATTATTCGTCTAGGGTTTACATACAAAAAGGTAAATAAAAATTATTGAATAACTTTGAAGAAAATCCTTGCTTGTTTTCGATTACTTTTAGAAATTTATGGTGTAATTAGAGGCATACACACGCCTTGATCAATTTTACTAGTTAGCTACTGTATATCCAGGGGACCCAGGTAAATAATCTTGTAAATAAATAAGTAAATAATCCATAAATAATCTTTTTTTTGTTTGTTTTTTGCAGCTAAAAATCATTGCCATGCAACGTTCTGAAGCTACAAGAGCGGAATATTGCAGATTTATGTCAAGTTTATCAAGAGACATGCTTCTCTTCCTGGATGAGTCTGCAAAGGACACAAGAAAATTACAGGTAATTATAAAATGACTTAGTATCTTATGTCTTTATTTTTTTATCAGTCTTTTTATTATACCTTCTGGATCTTTTACAGAGAACAATGGGTCATTTCTTCCCTGGCTATGCTCCTGTCTTAGAAGGGCATTTTGTTAGGAAAGATCGCTACAGTGTTTTGGCAGCTATGGATGTTGATGGTATAGTTGCAACCCATACAGTGCAAAATGCTTTCAGCACACAAGATTTCAATTTTGCCATAGAGTTTATGATTGCACCTTTCATTGGAAACTTTTCTCTTCGAGAAAAAAGATCAGTGGTGATCCTGGATAACTGCCGTATTCATGACTCGGATTATTTTATAAACATAATCAGGGAAAGAGGAGGAATAGTGGTGTTTCTTCCGTAAGTATATGATATTTATACAATGCCTTCAAGAGGCACATCATGGAATATATCCCACATGTTACTCGTAATTTCCTATGCGTACACACAAACCTTTAGGCAAGGGAGTTTAATGGGGTATTCCAAGGAGGGTCCTGAAGGGGTAAAATGGAAGCTGGGATTTGCCTTTTTTGGGCTGGGAAAATGGGATTGCATGCACCCGAACTGGGATTATTAAACAAAAAACAATCAAATTTGAGAATTGGATTGAAATTTTAGCAAAACATATGCTGGGATTATGGGTTTTGAACTGGAATTTGATTACAATTTGGGCTGAGAAATGGGATTAGGATTTCCCCTTCAGGACCCTCTCCATGGTATGCCAAGTGAAAGCATATAACTATTTTGTCCCATACCATAATATATGGGAAGGAAGAGTGGAATAACAATGAATATGAATGACTTTCTAATTGTCATCTACTTGCAGTGCCTTAAATAGATTTGGGTGCAAAAACATTAGATTAAAAAAACATTTGTAATGCTTTTTCAAGTTTTTTATTATAATACAAATGTAATAAGTGATTTATTTATCTTATAGCCCATATTCACCTGATTATAATCCAACGGAACCTATGTTTGGTTTAGCAAAACAAATGCTAAGACGTGACCAACAGCTATCATATGTGAATCCAAAATATTGTCTTGCAAGAGCATTAGAACAGGTAAACACATAGATTGACATAGATTGACTTAATAAACATTGTATAAAGTAAAGTGAAACTTTTAAAGGCATTGATTAATGCAAAATGATTATGCTTATGTGTTGCATTGTTGTATAAGTACGATACATATTTAAACATGAATGTATTTATAAAGTATGTATTTCCTCAGTGTTAAGGTTACATTGCAACTCAACAATACTTAAAATGCATATTACAGTATGTGGAAAACATACTGTAATACAACATGCAGTAGATAAATGTAATATGCCTTAAAAACTCAACATAAAAACTTTAAGGAAATGTGTAACAAGCTTTGTGATCTATCAATAGATAAGCTCAGAAGATGCCAAAAGTTACTTTGATGGCTGTGGTTATAGGGAATAAAGTTATAGCCCCAAACAAATGGATGAAGCTGTCTTCCACAACATGTGGTGATTGAAAGACCTTGATCATTTGTACTTTACAGTATCTAGCTTCATATATTTTTCTGGCTTTTATAGGCATTTAAATGTTAAACATGTACAACCTCAACTACTGTATAAAATTCACAATGTAACAATTGTGCTTTAAAAAAGTTTGTAAGAACTAAAATATACTGTAAATACTGTATTAAAACTGCAATTATAATACTGCATACTGACCCTAAGATGTTAAAATGTTCAATGTTTGCTTAGACCACATTATCAACAAATGAAGTCAAAGGGTTATTTTTATGTTTCTACAATCACATGTACTTACTGTATTAATATGGTAATTTGAATTATAATGGTATCTCTTATCCCATAAATATTATCCATTTTCTCTTACAAACTCTTTTGAAGCAGCTCAAACAATAAAAATTACTGGTATTCATATAAAACTAGCCTGCCTTCTCTCTTGCAACATAGCCAAGGATTTTTGACCTTTCAAGAGGGCTATGGATACCTAACTCTATAAGAACATCATCTGTGATAAATGACAATGTAGCACCATCAATGCTTTTTTCCAAGAATGTAGTTGCATACTGGCCAAGGCTTAACAACTCTAGGATTTCACACACTTCACTGCAAGTCTTTGTCATGAGGCCTTGATATAAGAAAAGACACAGTTACATCAGATTGCTTTAAAAGTATGGAAATTATGACTTGCATATAAATATATCACATTATATATGTACATGCTATAATAAATTAAATTAATATTATTTTAAACTTACCTTTAGATGAACTTGTAAGTGATGTGTTGGTAGTGGAGGTTGAGGGGCTGTCAGAAGCAGATGGTATAGGTCTTGGAGATAGTGCTTGAAACAACATTGCCTGGAACATGTTCTGTTAATTTCTGTCAGACTTTCTTTCCATTTCTTGTTGTATAAGCACAGCTGTAAGAAAGTCACTGATGCCCGTTTCAGGAGTCATGCCTGGGGTTTTCGAAGTTGCTACCACTTTACTGTTCCTTCCAATTGGCTCAATGTCTACAATATTCTTATATTTAGACCAGTCTGGCTCTTCCCTGGCGCCTGCCACTTCTCCCTTTTGGATAAGATCTGTCCAAAGACTAATATGCTTGATTCCAAATCTCTTTATTTGTCCTCTTTCCTCCAAGGTTTTCCGTAGTTCAATGTGAATTTTATTCCATTCAGCATTATTATCTTTTAGTGTAGTTTTGCTCCCAGAAACTGTTTTTTGAAATTTGGTAAATGCTTCATCATCAAATTCCTCAGCATCTCCATCAATATCAACAGGAATACATTCAAGTGAGCACTTAGATCCAACATTGGATGCACTTGGGACAAGTGAACGCTTTGTTTTTTGTATTCTTTCTCCATCTAAGAAAACATAAAATAATCATTAAACATGGTTCCCACTCACCTTGTAAAACAAAATTCCCTGAATTTTTGACCATTTTCACATTTTTAAAAATGACCAAATGTAAAATTTCCTGACAATTCCCTGACCTTGAAAAAAAAATTGATTTTACTGACTTTTCAAGGTCAGTGGCAACCCTGTTTGTGCAATTATAGGGAAAGGACAAGTGCAAATTTTGTCTGACATTTTTTCAATAAACTGTGTCATAAATAAATAAAAATCTAAAAAAAATTGATTAAAATGAACTTTAATGTTGTTTTTCTGAATCAATAAATTGGGTGTATAAATAATTTCCTTAATTACCACTTTCAACCACAGTAGCCAGGCGCAACACTTTAACAAAGCCCATAATGTCATCACGGTAGGCATCTTTTGCTGTTTCCAAATCATTGTCTGAGTGAAGTGTGTGAAGAGGCTTCACATTTTTTGGTTGTAACCAGAAGAATCCAGCTCTTAAGCATGCACCAGGTACCTTTTCTCTTACAAGCTTCTTGATGACAGTAAGGTTTTCCTTTGAGTTAACATTATAGATAGTGTGAATTGGTCCATCTGCAGTATTTTTAGTTAGGTTAACTCCAGCATGTACTTCAATTCGTATCTTGTAATTTGGGATTTCTTTATTTGGTGATTCACAATTGCTTTGACCAACCTTGTTCCTTGGTGAGGATCTTGTTTGAACTGCTTCTCCTATAAATTATTAAGAAAAAACCTTTCAGATTAAAAATTACTAAACAGAATTCGTTTCAAGAACCTTTTTATTTAATAATATACCACATGGGAACCCCGGAGACGGTGTAGGCTACAATATAGCCCTCCCACTTTTTTCTTTTGCATACTAGTCTCATATTTTTCYAATCCTAGCCCCCCTCTCCCCAATCCTCTTTTCTCCATACTAGCCAGTAGATTGCCTAATAGCTAGCCTAATAGATTGTTAGCTTGAAAAGGTAATTATCAAGTTTCCTACCTTTCTTGTGCCAGTCACAAGCAAAGCGAAGCAAAGCTGTACTGCGATGACCGTTTTTCTGCATTTGAGGATATTCCTTCAACGCTTGTCTTATACCAGCTTCATTTACGATGGAAACAAGCGGAAAGTTTCGTTTTGCTTTCGTAACATAATATAGTGCATCTATAAGTATTACGGTTTCCTTTTCCTCGTCTTGATCCATTGACAACACGTCGTAAAGTACCTTTTTCATCTCGGATTTTAGGAATTTAATTGATTGAAAGGCCTCTTCATTGAAAAGTGATGCTATGGGCTCTCCATCTGCTTTTCCCTCTCGAGTTTTGAAATGAATAAGAACGTTTCTTTTTGGGCAATCAGATGAGCTTTCGGAATCCATTTTCACCTTTCTGGTCGACCATCGAGCCGTGCCTGGTTACCAAGCCGTCGAGTGATGTCGGTCGAGTGCCGAAGATCGACCGAAACTG